TATCTGCCATTTCAGTATCCGCCATGTTTGTTATCTGCCATTTCAGTATCCGCCATGTTTGTTATCTGCCATTTCAGTATCCGCCATGTTTGTTATCTGCCATTTCAGTATCCGCCATGTTTGTTATCTGCCATTTCAGTATCCGCCATGTTTGTTATCTGCCATTTCAGTATCCGCCATGTTTGTTATCTGCCATTTCAGTATCCGCCATGTTTGTTATCTGCCATTTCAGTATCCAATGAAGGAATCAGAATTGAAAACTCCGTGGTGTGAAGAAAGAAGTTGTGCTTCTTTTAGTATTCCAAAATGTCATGCCTTCAAGCATTCCAATGTATAGAATGTAGAGGTGGGCAAAATCCGAATAACCTATCCCGATAACCGGATAATTATCATTGAAACATTATCCGAATTCAGGCTCATAACTCTCTTTCCTGACCCGTTTACCGAAGTGGGTGCACTCCTTTGTTGAAGTGATGCTAACCCGTTTGTCCAAGTGGTTCATAACTTTATATTATTTGACGAAGAGGAGCAATAACATATTATCCGGATTTCGCTAAAGCGACTCATTGCCCAGCCCTAATAGAATACGTGCCCGCCTTGGAGTAACTTTATACCCGCAATGGGTTAACGAACCGCCCCTGTCAATAAAACTTCCCAATAAGTAGGGCTGGGCAATGAGTCGCTTTAGCAAAATCTGGATAATATGTTGAAGCACCTCTTCAGCAAATAATAATATTATTATATGAACCGCGTCGGCAAAATACGGGTTAGAGCCACTTTGACAAATGGGTTGGAACCACTTCAACAAATGGATGCACCCACTTCGGCTAACGGGTCAGAAAAGAGAGTTAAGAGTCAAAATTCGGATAATGTTTCATTGAGAATTATCCGGTTATCCTTATAGATTATCCGGATTTTGCCCATCTCTAGCGACAAGCCTCCACGGAGCGACACACACAGAACTCTTACCGTGGAGCCATTTACACAGCGGCTCGCGAGACGTGCACAGAACTCTTACCGTTGAGCCATTTACACAGCGGCTCGCGAGACGTGCAGGGGTGAGTACGAAGTCTTCACGCTTTTCAACTTCGTCATAATAATAATAATAATAATAATAATAATAATAATAATAATAATAATAATAATAATAATAATTATAATAATAATAATAATGATAATAATAATAATAATGATAATAATAATAATAATAATAATAATAATAATAATAATGATAATGATAATAATAATAATAATATTAATAATAATAATAATAATAATAATAATAATAATAATAATAATAATAATAATGATAATAATAATAATAATAATGATAATAATAATAATAATAATAATAATAATGATAATAATAATAATAATAATAATAATAATAATAATAATAATAATAATAATAATAATGATAATAATAATAATAATAATAATAATAATAATAATAATAATAATGATAATAATAATAATAATAAATAGCATGGGAAGATTGAAGAATACCGGACCACTCGTACATTATTGTGTGAGAAAGTGGGGTAGGTGGGGCGTGTGGTTGGGGTGGACGAGGGGGGAGGGGGGATTCAGGGGGTCCCCCCTGACAAAATTGTATTGAATAGATCTACCGGTCCGAGATTCTCCATTGAGAGATATCAAAAACGGGGAAATTATGAATTCCTAAGGTTGAGAAATAAGCAAAGTCAGTCCGCTGGTCCGGTATTCTTCAATCTTACCAATAGCATTTGAATAGCGCATATCCCCGCTCAACAGCAAGCTCTATGCGCTTAACACGATATTATTACCCCAGCTGACCATAGAACACTCCGAAACATTCTCAGCTTCCCGGGAAGCATACAGAGCAAGCAGCTGATTAAGCGCTCAAACACTAACAAACTGACAAGATCTTTCGCTGTCATGCAATGCCATTGCTACGTTATAGAACACGTTTTTAGGGATATTTTCTCCTCCATAATCTACACAAAAAGCAGTGTTCTCCCCCCACCCTTTGTTCCCCCCTTTGTTCCCCACCCCCCTTTGTCTCCCCCCCCCCTTTGTTTACCCCCCCCCCCCCCCCTTTTTCCCCCCAAAGTATAAAAGGCCCGGTAACCAGGAACAAAAATCAAAGTCCCCAAAGATACAGACCGGTAAGGGAACTCTTTTGTGATTTCGGGAAATTTTACCCCCCCAACCCCGGAAGGGGGGTTAGGCCCTGTTGCTGTAATGAGGGGCAGGGAAAGGGGGAGGGGGAGGAGGGGGTGGAACGAGTGCGGACAGAATAGCGAGGGGTTAAGAAGGTAGAGAAAAAAAAAAAAAAGAAAAGAAAATGAAAAGAAAAAGACGGCATTACAGAAAGCCGAATACAGACTGTGTTATATGTGTGGAGACGGGGCGCACGCGCGAGATATGTAAAGATATTCCAAGACGTGCAAGATGATGCTGTATGAGAGAGAAAGACGGGGGACGCTACATGAAAGAAGAGAGACTCATACGACCGGA